GTGGGATCAATCTGCGCGGGTGAGGAAAGTACCCTTGGCAGTCGGAGATGTCGTGCTTCTCTACGATTCATCACTGGAGAAGCAATGGTCCAGAAAGCTCGATAAGAGGTGGTTAGGYCCCTACCGGATCGCACGGGTCGGAGACTTCGGAGCGTACCAGATCGAGGAGATAAATGGGACTGAGTGGAAGGATTGGGTATCTGGAACGCGACTGAAGAAATTTGTGGCGAGAGAAGAGGTAGGAGAGATGACCTGACTGCCTTTAGGATAGAAGTAACAGGGTGTGTAGGTTAGGTAGGATGCATGCTGCATGAGTATGGTCTGGTCTGAGCTTGCCTTGATTATCACCTGCTTGCTTACCCCCAATGTGCGCCTGTTTGTCTCCCTCGCCTCTTGTGCAGGTCTGACTTTACGAAGACAGCCATGCCAAGAGRAGGGAAGGGGACACGGCCGCCTCAGAGGCCGTTGGGTGCATCAGGAGGATACGAGCGGCTTGGGCCTCGCCATCGAGAGRGTACTCCAGTCTACAGTGATGGGGACATCGAGCTATTCCTGGACAATTTCTGGGGGCATGCGAGGCGTATGGGCTGGACCGTCGCTCAGGCGATTGAGAGATTGAGGGGAGCAGGTAGGTTCGAGGAGCCCATTGCCAGGATTCGTAGGGAGGCAACGACGAGGCAGAAGGTGGAGATGAAGATGAAGGAGTTGCGACCCTCGCCTGTGGGACCTGATGGCAGGCCGATCCGCCTGGAGATTGGAAATGCGTCGGACTTCATCCCCGCGTTTGAATGGTTTATGCAGGGACAGGGCATACCGAGAGATGATTGGATGCAGACGCTACCACTCTGGACCAGGAAGGCGGAAAGGCCACTGGCTATGCAGATCAGGGACATGGCACGAGATTGGGAGAGCTGCAGGGCACATCTGAGAGAGGCCTTTCGACGGTCGGAGCTCCCTCAGCCCAAAGTTGAGAGGCGGCAGAGGAGTCAAAGATCGAGGGACCCTGAACCCAGGGAAGTGAGGCCGTCTCGGGGAGGACGGAAGGCCCTAGCCAGGAGAGAGGAGGAGCCGGAGCAGGAGCCAGAGGTTGAAGAGCAAGAGACATACCCTGAGTATGGGTTGGGACCAGTGGAGTTCCATCGTTTTACTGAGGGTGGATTGAGGAGGTCGCCAGCACACCCACGGGAGGAGCCGCCAGTGTCTGAAGAGCCGTTGAGAGAG